ACTCTACCAGCATGTTGATCCTGACTTCCCAACCTCCAGAACTGTGAGAAAAATAATTTCTGATGTTTAAGTCACCCAACCTGTGGCATTTTGTATGGCAATCAGCACAGACTAATGCAGGAAGGAAGGTAGGGAGGGTATCCAGATTGGGAAGGAAGAAGTAAAATGGTCTTTACCCATGGATGATATGATCCAACTTCAAAAGATTTTGGGATATGAAAGCAATATAAAAAACCAACTGGATTTCTATGTTCTTACAACTCAAGAATTAAATGATTCCATTCATAACAGCATTAATTTCATGAGGTCTAAGACTTGTACATGACAACTACAAAACTTACTGAAGGATATTAAAGAAGACCCAAATTAAAGTACAGACATTCCATGTTTCTGGCTTAACAGCTTCAAAATTGACAGTATGGCAATTCTCCCCAAAACTGATCTATAGATTCGACACAAGCCTTATGAAAATCCCCCATAAGTTTGGTTTGTGTTTTCTGGAGGTTTTTTTGGGTAGAAATTGGCAAGTTGATCCCAAAATTATATGGAAATGTGGGGGACCCAAAATAGTTTAATGATTTTGAAAAAGTTAAAGGACTTACATAACCCAGTTTCAAAACTGCCACTAAAGTTCTAGCAATCAAGGTGATGTGGGGCTGGTATAAGGATAGACATCTACGTCAATGGAATATAACAGAGACTAGAAATAAATTCCTGCATTTATGGTTAACTGATTCTTGACAAAGGTGCCAAGGCAATTCGATGGTGGGTGAGGGGGGATAGTTCATCTTTTTGAAAAGTGGTGCTAGAGCAGCACCTGCATGGCTTGGTTAAGTGTCCAGCTCTTGGTTTAGGCTTAGGTCATGATCTTGGGGTCATGGGATAGAGCCCATCCTGAGCTCTGTGCTGAGCAAGGAGTCTGCTTGAGATTCTCTCTTTCTCCCTTGGCCCTTCCCATTTGTGCACGCTCTCCCCACACCCCCCCCCCTCTCTCTAAAATAAATAAATAAATCTTTTTTTTTTTTTTTAAAGTGGTGCTATCCTCATGCAAAAAAAAAAAAATTTAGATCCCTACCTTGCATTACACACACACAATTGGTCAAAATTGTTCAAAGGCCTAAAATGTAAGCTAACTCTAAATCTCCTAGAAGGCATAGAAGAAAATCTCTGTGACCATGAATTAGGCAGAGCTCCTAGCTATGTCATCAAAAGCATGATCAATTAGACTAAAACGCCGATAAACTGGAATTCATCAAAACTAAAAGCCTTTACACTTACAGAGTTTTTCTTTACACAATTAAGAAAGTAAAGAGACAAGCCACAGATAAAGAGGAAATATTTGCAAATCATAGTTCTGATTAAGAAACTATATCCAGAATAAAGAACTCTTGCAACTCAACAAGAAGACAACCTGATTTTATTTTTTTTTTAAGATTTTATTTATTTGACACACAGAAAAATCACAAGCAGGCAGAGAGGCAGGCAGAGAGAGAGAGAGGAGGAAACAGGCTCCCTGCTCAGCAGAGAGCCCGATGTGGGGCTCAATCCCAGGACCCTGAGATCATGACCTGAGCCGAAGGCAGAGGCTTTAACCCACTGAGCCACCCAGGCGCCCCGACAACCTGATTTTAAAGTGCATGTAAATATATGAAGTTACCAGAGATAAATCATCAATAAATATATAGAGATATCCAAAATCTTAAATGATTATAACATGCAAATTAAAGCCATAATCAGGTACCATTACACACACATACTAGAATGGCTTCTGATCAAAAACACTGGCAATAACAAGAGTTAGTGAGGATATGGAGAGACCAAATCCCTCACAGGCTACGTTCTGCAGTGTAAAATGGTGCAACTTCATTGTAAAACTGCTAAAAAATTCCTTAAATTTACCACATGACTCAGCAATTCTACATCTGGGTTTCTACCCAAGGGAAATGAAAACATTTTCATGTAATGATCTGTCTGCCAATGTTCATAGCAGTGATATTCATAATAGTCTCAAACTAGAAACAATACAAATTTCACCACATGGGGAATGAGTAAATTAAAAACGTGATACAGTAAATTAATGGAATAGTATTCAGCAGTTTTAAAAAGGAACTATCAGTATGCTCTGCAACATGGACAAACCTCAGAAAGGGGATGCTCAGTGAAGGAAGCCGGACACAAAAGATCCCATATTGTCTGATTCTGTTTATATGAAATGTCTAGAAATGGCAAATTAGAGACAAAAAACAGATCAATGGTTACCTGGGGCTGGAGGTGGGAGCAGGGATTGACTTTAAACAGGTATAAGGAAAAACTTTATGGGAATGGAAATGTTCTAAAACTGGATTGTGATGGTTGTGCAACTCCATAAATTTACTTAAAAATTATTTATATATACTTACAATGATTACATTTTACAGTAGGTAAATCCCATCTCAGAGTAAGGATAGAAAAAATTAAATTATGGTTGGGTTTCAATGATTGATTATGGTATGGATAAGCTAGCTAAGGCCATTTGAAATCACCAGTAACTAACAGAAACAATCTTTTTTTTTTTTTTTTGAAACAATCTTTTTAAAAATCTGATGTTTCCAGGTGGTTTCAAACGAATATAAGTGATATGAAGATATTACGTAAATTGTGTAAACATATTATAAATTTTATAGCCATGTTATCATAAAATCTTCAATATCCTTTGTTAAATGACATTAACAAAACAGTATTAACCCATAAATGAATGTGATGTAGTACTTTGTGTGTGTGCACATGTATGTACATATGTAAGTGCACTCAGATGGTAGAATAATGGGGTAAGGGAGGACTGCTAATATTCTCAGTTGTTTGACTTTTTTATAGGCCTATCTTCAGTCTTGTTTCATAATTTATAAGGAATTTAAGGAAAATAACAATCGGAACATACAGTCCATATAATACTTTACAGAATATGGCCAAGGATGTAAACAGAGGAAAATGAGTAGGCTTTCTTATTAAACAAGAAAAAATAAAAATGAATGAAATAGTCCACACAAGAAACTAGGAAGGTAAGGGCACCTGGGTGGCTCAGTCAGTTAAGTGTCTGCCTTCAGCTCAGGTCATGATCTCAAGGTCCTGGGATCGAGCCCCTGTTGGGGTTCCTGCTCAGTGGAGTGGATGCTTCTCCCTTTCCCTCTGCACCTGCCCCCTCCCCCGCCCCCACTCATGGTTTCTCTCAAATAAATAAATAAAATCGTTTTTAAAAAAGAAGAAGCTAGGGCGCCTAGGTGGCTCAGTGGGTTAAGCTGCTGCCTTCAGCTCAGGTCATGATCTCAGGGTCCTGGGATCGAGCCCCGCATCGGACTCTCTGCACAGCGGGAGCCTGCTTCCCTCTCTCTCTCTCTGCTTGCCTTTCTGCCTACTCGTGATCTCTCTCTGTCAAATAAATAAATAAAATCTTTAAAAAAAAAAAAAGAAGCTAGGAAGGGGTACCACTGTGGAAGACAGTATGGAAGTGCCTCAAAAAATAAAAATAGAACTACCATATGATCTTGGGTATTTACTCAAAGGAAATAAAACACTACTTTGAAAAGATAAATGCACCTCTATGTTTGTTGCAGCATTATTTACAACACCCAAGATATGAAAGCAACTCAAGTGTCCATCAACTGATGAGTGGATAAGAAGACATGGTAGGGACGCCTGGATGGCTCAGTTGGTTGGGCAGCTGCCTTCGGCTCGGGTCATGATCCCAGCGTCCTGGGATTGAGTCCCACATCGGGCTCCCTGCTCAGCGGGGAGCCTGCTTCTCCCTGTGCCTACCACTCTGTCTGCCTGTGCTCACTCTCTCTGACAAATAAATAAATAAAATCTTAAAAAAAAAAAAAAGACATGGTATATATACAATGGAATATGACTCAGCCATAAAAAAGAATGAGACCTTGCCATTTGCAATGACATGGATGGACCTAGAGGGTGTTACACTAAGTGAAATAAGTCAGTCAGAGAAAGACAAATACCACGTGATTTCACTTATATGTAGAATCTAAAAGATAAAATGAACAAACACACAAAAATCTCTTAAATACAGAGAACTTACAGTTGCCAAAGGGGAAGTGGGTGGGGGGATGGGTGAAATAGATAAAGGGCATTAAGAGGTACAAACCTCCAGTTACAAAATAAGTCGCAGAGACTCAAAGTACAGCATCGGGAATATGGTCAACAATACTGTACTAATGTTGTACAGTGACAGATGGTGACTACACTTATTGTGATAAGCACCGAGTACAGTCCAGTCACTATGCTGCACACCAGAAGCTAATATAACATTGTATGCCAATTATACTTCATTAATAAAAAAAATTTAAAGAAGTTAGAAATAGGAGAAAGATAAAGTTTTAAAACATTATAAAAAAATAAAAACTGAAGTTAATTAGAAAATAGAAAAAATAAAAAAGAAGACTGATAGCTCCAAGAACTGGTTCTTCCGTAAAAACCTGAACACTAATGGGGAAAAGCCTCTTCACTGGTTTTCATAAACAATATACACTCTCAAAGCTTCTGAGAGACTTTCTTTTCCCTAGAGATTGGGGTGGGGGTGATTCACAGAGCCCCTGGGTGGACAACTTCAAGTCCTTGGTTTTTGGTTGGTGTGGAGCGAGCAAGGCTCTCTCTTGCCATTCAGGCCACAGAGCACCCAGCCTTCTTATACCTCCCCAGCTTCTCAGCTCCTATTCTGTTCCCCTTACACATTGAAGAACACACACACCCCAGTTCTTCCTTTGAGATGAACTCGGGGGCCAAGGTAAGAGCATTCTTCTCCCTTGCAGGGAGGATGGGGACCTGAGGGCTGGGAGTGCACACTTCTGACCCGGTTCAGCCCTGCAGCCTACACCCCCTGCCCACCCTTCCCAGGATCAAGGGAGATAAAGAAACTGGTCATGGAGCCTGTATGTCCCCACAGGTGACTGGACAGCCCCAAGGTGAGCAGAGGCCTGGGACCCCTGACCTTGGGAGGAGAACACACCCACCTGGATGAGGCTGGGCTCCTGGCCTTTGCTCTTGAGCACCATGGTGTTCCGCCACCGCAGATACTTGTCCCTGTGGGCCTGGATCTCGTAAGCCAGTGTGGATTTCCGACTTAAGAAGCGCTCAGGACAAGGGGCGGGCTGAGACGGCAAGACCATCAGTTTTCCATCTGCGAGATCGTCCTGCGAAATGGGCAGCCCTAGCTCTTGGCTCAAGTCTTTGACCATGGCGGAGGATGGCAGCAGGCCTCTCGCGATCACCTCCCTGAGCTTGGTGCTGTGATGGCAGATGGAGTAGATCCTGCGAGACAGAGGGCCACCCACATGGCCTCACCTACCTTTCCAAACGTGTTTACCAGTCCCGTTTTCCAAGAGAACGTGCAGCTCAGGAGTCGTTTGGCTCATCCCAGCTCACAGAACTCAGGGACTCGAAGCTTAGAGTCCACCCGGACGAGCCCACCAAAGAGAATGCCTCCTTTTCACTCTCCTCACAGCCCTCAGAATTAAAGGCTTCCCACAATCCACTCTGATTATTTTTCCGCTACTGTGGCCCACCCCTTGGCCTTGCAGATGCAGATAAAGCCCTGAGGAACGCTGCTACCTGGAACACAGCAGACACTTAATAAATAGCAGTTTTCTTCCCTTTCCCTAAGACAGGGCCCAGCATCCCCTCACTGACCGCTGGGGCTCTAGACACCCAAACGCTCCAGCACCTCCCCAGCACGAGCCTGCTGAGACCCCCGGCACCGTCCCCCTTCCTGACTTGCAGCTTCGGCCTGCTGTTTGTGGGGTTCCCAGCCCACCCCTGCTTAGCCCCTCAGGTAGCGCTGTGCGGGGAGAGGTGGGAGATAACAGGACTCAGTCCCCGCTCTCCATGGCCCTGGGCGCCCGCCCTTCCTCTCTCTCCCGACTCCACCCTCTCCTTCATTAATATATTTGATAAGCTGGGAGCCGACTCTCGGGCAGGGCTGTTGCTGGCTTTAAAGCTTAAAGAAATGGGGCGCCTGGGTGGCTCAGTGGGTTAAGCCGCTGCCTTCGGCTCAGGTCATGATCTCAGGGTCCTGGGATCGAGACCCGCATCGGGCTCTCTGCTCGGCAGGGAGTCTGCTTCCTCCTCTCTCTCTACCTGCCTCTCTACCTGCTTGTGATCTCTCTCTGTCAAATAAACAAATAAAATCTTTAAAAAAAAAATAAATAAAGCTTAAAGAAATGGTTGGCATCCCCCACCCCTGGCTCCAGTGAGCAGACTGTCCCCTAATGAAGGCCTGCTTGCTGACATTCAAGGCCAGCCCTTCCCAACGTCCTGAAAGAACCAGCCACTGTCCTTCACTGCCCCCACAGAGCCCGGCACAGGCTGGCCATGGTCCCAGGGCTCCCACTGCACTAGGCTTGTCCAGTCTCCACTCCAAACTGGGGGTGCCTCGCTTGGCCCTCCTGCTCCCTACATGAATGGAGAAGGCCCTCCGGGAGCGTGAGCCATGCTCAGTCCTGCAGAAGGAGCACACGGCTTCGCAGGGTCACAGGCAGAAGGCCTGGGGGTGAAGGTGAAAAGGGGGAGAGGTTCACCAGCCCTGAAGTAGAACAGGACAGGTAAAGGCAGGCACAGAGTGGAAGATCTAGATCTTTGGAGGACACCTTTCTGCACAGGTTAGGGAAGAAGCAACAGAAGCAAACATGCAGCTGGGAGAGGAAACTGTTTCAGGCCTGGTGGATCTGGTTCTGGTCCCCATCACTCACTACTTGGGCTGTTCTGGGCTATTCCCCCAGAAAAGCAGATAGCTTCGTGTGACGTGTGTTCAAGGAAAGGGCCTTCCTTCTCCCAGTGTTTCTGAACCCCCTTGGGAGAACACGTGGAATAGAGGGAATGACACAGGTTTGGGGTCCCTGAGAACTGAATTCCACTCCTAGGCTCAGCCTCTTTAGGCATAAAGAAAAATAAAAGCTGGGGCGCCTGGGTGGCTTAGTCGGTTAAGCGTCTGACTTCGGCTCAGGTCATGATCTCAAGGTCCTGGTATCGAGTCCCACCTGGGGCTCCCTGCTCAGCGGGGTGCCTGCTTTCTCTCTCTCCCTCTGCCCCTGGCCCTTGGAGGGGTCCCTGCACCACCCCCAGCGGCACCAGCTCCCCGTGGCCACCCCTTCCCCGTGGCCACTCCCTGGGATGCGGCCTGGCGCACCTGGTCAGGGCCTGGAAGGCCTTCTGCAGAACACTGTTGCGGATGTAGAGCGCCGAGTGCTTCATGAGCTGCGACAGCGGCTTGAAGAGGTGCACCTGGTACAGGACCGTCTCCAGGTCGGCGTAGAGGCGGTGGCGGAACCGTAGCGCCGAGTTGTAGAGCACCTTGTGTTTGCCGGGCTCTGCCCTGGTGATTCTGGAAGGAGGCCAAGGGGCGGGGCCTTAGCGCCTCTCTGAGGGCTCCCAGAATGCTCTGCGGTTTTGCCCTTGGGCAGAACTTGTTTCTGAATGCGTTAACAATAAATAATCTGAAAAACACCTGATGAAACATCTGATAGACGATCTTTTCCAAACCCTGGCAGTGAAAATGCAGAACCCTACTTCATTTTCCTCTTGTCCTGCCGCCGCTCCCATTCACACACTGGGCTGGCCGGCATTCCCAGCCTGGCAGAGGTGCTAAACACACCCCGCCACCCACACCCCTGTGTTGGTACAGGCGGCTCCTACATCTCGGGGAAACTGAGGGAAGGCAGCATGGACCCTGCCTATCCCCTCGGTGAATGGGTGTTTGGTCATGAGGTTTTCCCCTTTGGCGAAGTACCTGTCCGAGCCTTTTGCCCACTCTTCCCTTGGCCTGTTTTCTTATTTTCTTATTGATTCATGGAAGTTTTTTTTACATATTCAGGATACTAACTCCACACATGGCAAATAATTTTTTTCTGAGTCTTTCTTTTCACAATTTTTATGATACCTTTGGACAAACAGAAGTGATTCACTTTCATGTAGCCGGATCCAGCATCATTTTCCTTTATTCTGTGTACTTCTGTCTTGTTCAAGAAATCTTTCTTTATCCTAATCATCTGAAAGCTTTAGCGTTTCGCAATTCAAAAACAGATTTTTCTTTTCTGGTGAACTCTGAATAAGACGAGGTAATTGTGGTCTAGCTGACTGTACTGTGTCCATCAATAAGGCATTCTACTTTTGTCAGATGTCCCGGCTGGAGGAAATACGGTACTGGGTGCATGGAACAATTCTATATTATTTTTGCAACTGATTGTGAGTCTGTAACTATTCCAAGTGGGTTTTAATCTACCTGGAATTGATTTCTGTGAATTGTGTGAGCCCCTGAATTAGAAAACTCTCAGTGAATTAGGAACAGAGTGGAACTTCCTTAAATTGATAAAGGACATCTACAAAAAACCTATACCTAACATCGTACTTGTAATGGGGAAAGTCCCCTCCATCACACGAAGGAAATACTGATTGGACAGGAAGACACTGAGGATGACACAAACAAATGGAAAGATATTCCATGCTCATGGATTAGAAAAACAAATATTAAAATGTCTATACTTCCCAAAGCAATCCATATATTCAATGCAATCCATATCAAAATACCATTAGGATTTTTCACAGAGCTAGAACAAACAGTCCTAAAATGTGTATGTAACCAGAAAAGGTCCTGAATAGCCAAAGCAATCTGAAAAGGAAAAACAAACCCAGAGGTATAACAATTCCAGATTTCAAGTTATACGACAGAGCTGTAGTAATCAAAACGGTATGGCAGTGGCATAAACACAGACACATAGATCGATGGAACACAATAGAGAGCCCAGAAATAAACCTATGATTATAGTCAATTAATGCATGATAAAGGAGGCAAGAATATTCAATAGGAAAACAGTTTCTTCAACAAATGGTGCAGGACAGCTCCAGGCAAAGAATGAAACTGAACCACTTTCTTACAACAAACACAAACTCAAATGGATTAAAGACCTAAATAAAACCATAAAACTCCTAGAAGAAAATGCGGGCAATAAGCTCTTTGACATTGGCCTAAGTAATATATTTTTGGTTATGTCTCCTTAGGCAAGGGCGACAAAAGCAAAAATTAACAAATGGAACTACATCAAACCAAAAAGCTTTTGCACAGTGAGGGAAACCAACAAAATGAAAAGACAAACTGTGGGATGGGGGAAGCTACTTGCAAACAATATATCCAATAAGGGATTGATATCCAAAATACATAAAGAACTCATTTGACTCAATAACAACAACAACAACAAAAACCCAACTGAAAATGGGCAGAACAGCTAAATAGAAGATAATTCAGATGGCCAACGCACACAATGAGGAAATTGCAACATCCCTGAACATCAGGGAAATGCGAATCACAGCCGCAATGGGATACCACCTCACACCTGTCAAATGACTATGATCAAAAACACAAGAGATGACAAGTGTTGGTGATGGAGGATGTGGGGAAAAGGGAACCCCCATGCCCTGTGGTTGGGAAAGCAAACTGGTGCAGCCACTGTGGAAAAAAGTATGGAGATTCCTCAAAATTTAAAAACGGAATGACCATACCATCCGGCAATTCCATGACTGGGTATTCAGCCAAAAGAAAATGAAAACACTCATTCAAAAAGATATATGCACCGCTATGTCCATTATTTGCAATAGTCAGGATATAGAAGCAACCTCCGTGTCCATCAACAGGTGAATGGATAAAGATGTGGACTGTGTGTTTGAGTGTGTAATGGAATATTACTCAGCCATATAAAAGAATGAAATCTTGCCATCTGCAACAACATGAATGTAAGTAAAAGGTATTATGCTCAGTGAAGTAAGTCAGTCAGACAGAGAAAGACAGATACTGTATGATTTCCCTTATATGTGAAATTTAAAAACTAGAACAATAGAACAGACAGAACAAACCATTCCATGGGTACAGAGATCAAACTTGTAGTTGCTGGGGCTGGGAGTTGCGGGGGTAGGCATGGGTGACACAGGTGATGGGGATTAAGAGGTACAAACTCTCAGTTTTAAAATAAATAAGTCACAGGGATGTCATGTGCAGCATAGGGAACGGAGTCAATCATATAATAACTTCGCATAGTGAGAGAGTAACTAGATCTACCATGCTGATCATTTTGCAATGTATAAAAATATCAAATCACTGTCTTGCACACCTGAAACTAATATTGTAGGTCAACTATAATTCAATTAAGAAGAAAACATGTCCACACAAAAACCTGTACGTTATTGCTCACAGCAGCTTCATCTGTAATAGTCAAAAACTGGAAATAAACAAAATGTTCCTCAACAGATGGATAGTGAAACTGTGTCACATCTGTTCCATGAAATATGACCCAGCAACAAAGAGGAGCAAACTACGGATATATGCAAAAATGTGATTGGCTCTCCAGCACTGAGTGGATGCTGAGTGGAAACTCCTAAGGTCATATAATAGGATTCCATTAATATGTAAGATTACATACAGAGGAAAAAATTAAGTGGGCCCATTAACTGTCTGCCTTCGGCTCAGGTCATGATCCCAGGGTCCTGGGGTCAAGTCCCATGTCAGGCTCCCTGCTCAGTGGGAAGCCTGTTTCTCCCTCTCCCATTCCTCCTGCTTGTGTTCCCTCTCTCACGGTGTCTCTGTCAGGTAAATAAATAAAATTTTAAAAAAATGAAGGAGATGGAAAACAGGATAGTTAAAGAGGGTAGGTATGACTATAAACACACAGCATGAGGGAGCTCTCGGTAACAATATGCTAGTTCGAGGTCTTCATTATAGCTGTGGTCACACAAATCTGTATGTATAAACTGGCACAAACAACATACGTACTGACATTGGCATCCCGGCTTAGATATCTGCACCACAGTTAAGCAAGATGTGACCGTTGTGGGGAAAGGGTATGTGGGAATCTCTGGAATATTCATTAAACTTCCTATGAATCTATAACTATTTCAAAAGTTGAAAATGTACACAGATTTTTAATGCAGTGAGAATTGATTTTTGTGAATGGTTTGAGGTTTGGAAGTTGTTTTCCTTTTATCTTATGGATAAACAATTATCCCAACACCATTTTTTTTAAAAGTTTCTCCTTTCCTCAACAGATTTTTTTGTTTGCTAGAGGTATTTTTCTTCTTCTTCTTCTTCTTTTTTTAAATATTTTATTTATTTGACAGAGAGAGACACAGAGAGAGAGGAAATACAAGCAGGGGGAGTGGGAGAGGGAGAAGCAGGCTTCCCGCCAAGTGAGCAGAGAGCCTGATATGGGGCTCGATCCCAGGACGCTGGGACCATGATCTGAGCCGAAAGCAGAGGCTTAACCCACTGAGCCACCGAGGTGCCCCAGCTAGAGGTATTTTTCAAATGAGATTTTTTTAAAAAAAAGATCTTATTTATTTATTTGACAGACAGAGATCACAAGTAGGCAGAGAGGCAGGCAGAGAGAGAGGAGGAAGCAGGCTCCCTGCTAAGCAGAGAGCCCGATGCGGGGCTCGATCCCAGGACGCTGGGACCATGATCTGAGCCGAAAGCAGAGGCTTAACCCACTGAGCCACCGAGGTGCCCCAGCTAGAGGTATTTTTCAAATGAGATTTTTTTAAAAAAAAAGATCTTATTTATTTATTTGACAGACAGAGATCACAAGTAGGCAGAGAGGCAGGCAGAGAGAGAGGAGGAAGCAGGCTCCCTGCTGAGCAGAGAGCCCGATGCGGGGCTCGATCCCAGGACAAAGGAATCATGACCTGAGCTGAAGGCAGA